GTTGTTGTTATTATTATTATTATTATTATTATTATTATTATTATTATTATTATTATTATTATTATAAAATAACACTATTAAGTATTAAAACTATAAATGATTTGGCATTTAGGTAACTGTAACAATGATTAGTTAAAAAATATTCAATTATCATAATATTGATAAACGTAATTAAAATATTGATAATAAATAAAAATATTTGATTACCAAATATAATTTTAATTAGCACATCTAGCTTCTTGGATTTATTTCATGTGAGTGTTGCTATAAGTTTTTTAAATTTTGTTGCTATAATTTTTATTTAAGTGCATTAACACACTTTTTATATTTTTATCATTGTGGCAGAACTATTATCAGCACTAATCTCTGGTGCTTGCAACAAGGGTCATCTTCATGGGCTGAAACTCTCTAAGAATGGGCCAGTCTTATCTCATTTGTTATTTGCAGACGATTCTTTATTCTTTTGTAAAGCTGGAGTGGACCAAGCTAATGTTCTCTTAAATTTGCTTGAGAAATATAAGCTGTTTTCAGGGCAACAAGTCAATCTCCAGAAATCTGCAGCTTAAACAGTCTATCTGTAGCTCTCTTAATGGTATTGTGGCTCATAGATCTACCAGGTATCTGGGACTGCCTTTGGGCATTGGTAAGTCTAAGAAAGAGGTTTTTGACTATCTTCTCACCTCTGTGAAGTCTAAACTTGGTAGCTGGAAATCAAATTTACTTAGCCCTGCAGGAAAGGAAGTGTTACTGAAAGCTGTGGTTCAAGCTCTTCCCATTTTTTCCATGTCTTGCTTTAAAATCCCAAGTACCCTTTGTGCTGAGTTAGCTAAATTGTGTGCCGAATTCTGGTGGAAGTCAGGCAATCAGGACTCCAAAGGAATACACTGGAAGAAATGGTCTCTTCTTTCTCTTCCAAAATTGCAAGGAGGTCTGGGATTTGTTGACTTCAGACTCTTTAACCAAGCTTTGATTTGCAAACAGCTTTGGAGGATAGCTACCAATCCCCACCTTCTTGTTAGCAGAATTCTCAAAGATAGGTACTTTCCCAACCATTCTATTATTCATGCTGTCAAAAGTCAGAGTGGATCCTGGATGTGGAACTCCTGGTTGGAGATGATGCCTTTGTTTTCTCAGTGGCCTAAAGTTGAAATCAGAAATGGTGTTAGTACCAGGATTGCAGATCATAATTGGGTTCCACACCTTGCCTCACCTACTCCACAACTCATGGAACTTGCTAGAGATCATCTTATTTGGGTTAAGGATTTGCTGTTGCCAGATGGTAGAGGTTGGAATGATTGGCTCATCAAACAAGTTTTTTCTGAACAAGACAGTGTGGCCATCCTCAATATCTCTTCTCTGAAACCTGACAAAGAGGATAGACTGTACTGGGGACTTCACCAGAAAGGAATCTTCACAGTCTCTTGTACTTACACCCATCTTGCTGAGAAGAAACTCTTACAACTGGATATCCCAGAATGCAGCTCCTCAACTGCTAAAGGTAAAGCTCTTCTATTCAGATGCTGGAAACTGAAAATCATGAATAAGGTCAAACATTTTATCTGGAAATGCATCTCTGGTACTCTTCCAGTGGCTATTCATCTTAGAAAAAAGGGCCTTGACATAGAGACTACATGTTCTATCTGTGGAAATCAGCCTGAAACAGTTGAGCACTTGTTGTTTACTTACCCAAGAGCTCAAAGAGTATGGGACCTCTCCCCTGTACAATGGGATTCAAACACTTGCAGCACTGAAACTTTCAAGGGATGGTGGCAACAATTATGTTCTCTTGACTCCTCAGAGGTAGCTGAAGCAAGAATACAACTGTCCACTTACCTGCTTTGGTGGCTCTGGAAGTCAAGGAACCTGTGGGTCTTTCAAAAAACACTCATACCAGCTCACAGATTGATCAAGGCAGCACACTTGGACTGGTTGGAATTTCTTCATGCTGTTGGATGATTTCTGTGGATGCTTCTCTTAGTTTCTTTTGATTAGCTGCTTTCTTTTTCTGGTTGTTGTATTTTGCTGTTGGAGTTTGTCTATCTTGCTAGGCTTTGTAGCAGTGGCGGGTGATTAAACTCCTTTTTTTCCTTTTCTCTTTAGCTCCTTTGTTGAGGTTTTATGCCATCTTGTATGAGCCTCTCAGTTTGTTGTTTCCGGTTTGTGGTGTCTATTTGTATCTTGTATTATTGGATCCTTTGAGTTTTAGTTATACAAATTTCTATCGTTTCGGGAAAAAAAAAAATTTATATTCTTTCTATTAATATACTTTAATTTTAATAAATATGAAAACTTAACTTAATTTAAGAATCAATTTAACTTTTGTTGATACAAAAAATAATTACACAAATACAACTGGTATTCATTGCTTTTTAACTATTTATATATATAGGATGTGGTTCAAATGAGAACCAAGTTCTAGTGTGAGAACCGTGAGAACCGCTATTTTTAATTGTATGAAGTGCTATGATTGAGTATGTTTTAGTGCTATTTTTAACCAAGATATATTTTGTTAAAAATAGCAACACAATTGATGTTATCATTTGTAAAAATGATAGCATCATGTAATCTTAAAAATAGCATCATACACAGTTAAAAATAGCATCAAATATAGTTCTCACGATTCTCACACCAGGGCTGGTTTTTATTTAAACCAACCCCTATATATATATATATATATATATATATATATATATATAGGGATTGGTTCAAATACATCCGATTATTTAAAGTGAGGACGTGAGACTCATTCCTAGCCACAAGATTTAGATCTTGATTTAAATAATAATTCTTTATTTTTATTATTTAATTCTTTATTTTTAATTATTTTATTCCTAGCCACAAGACTCATTCTTTATTTTTATTATTATTTAATTCTTTATTTTTATTATTTAATTCTTTATATTGCACAATAATGACTATCAGATTGCACGCTAGAGCCCAAAATCAACCAAACTCAAATGTTCAGATCGATATTTTATATTCTTGTTCGGTTATATATTTTTACTTTTAAATTCCATATATAAACACGATATGTGCAGTTCACTTATCATTACTTCATGTTTATTAAAATATTAATAATTTCATACAAATGTGATACTATTATTTAAAGTGCGTATACAAATAATCCCCGCCGGTAGAACGTCGAGTACTTGCAAAGAATTCTCACACCGGAGGGGTTTTCCGGTGAAGAGCCTCCGATGCTTAAGTCAGTCACTGTTTCAGTCAATTCTTAAGAGTACAAAAAATTATTAGGGGTGAGATACCTGCCATAGTAGCTGTCCGGATTTGATGAGCTGTCTGCCCAAAGCTGCCCGGATCTGCTCGTCCGTACACACACAGTGTGTGTGTCAGATGTGGTTATCGCCACCATCATTGTGCACCAATATTTCTTCGCCACGTGTAATTATTCCCCTGAATATTCCCTGGAAATTTCCTAGGAGACTCACGCGCTTCCCCACGTCGGGGCCACGCTCTCGATCGCTCTTCACTCGCGGGGTGGTAGATCCGATAATCTCCCATTCAGTAGGTCGATCTTCGACCAGATCTGCCACAATATTCGACCACTACCTTTCAGCCCGCTATTGCTCGATCAGCACAGCAATTCCGATATTATACTAGTACGAACGACATAACGAACCGGTTTATTCCTTTAAGTATATAATATCCCATATCATCTAGTCCCCCCCTCCCCTCTGGT